ATGTATAGATAATAATGGCAACTATTTTGATTAAATAAATTTGTTAAGAATTTAAAAAATAAACAATTTAGATTTTCAGTACAAATCGGCAATTTCATACTTTAACCCCATTGACTTACAATTATATGGACGTCGGGTCCGCGCTAAAAAGTGTCCGCACTTGTAAGGCGCTAAAATCGTATACAGAGCGCGACACTTCGCTTTAGTCTTCATTTGTTCTACTGACAGCGCGATACTGCGATGACATTACAATTTAAATTTCGAATAGGTTGACTTGGGACATTTTTTTCGTGGTTTTTGTATTAGACCCGTCGTCCATTTATTTGTAAGTCAATGTTTAACCCCTATTACTAGAGAACGAGGACTCAGATAATATCAAACAAAAAGAAAAATAAAAGAGTCTTAGTTATTGACTTGAACTTTGACAATGCTATTGATATTGTTGCTGGCTATCTACAATTACAAAACGGAAATAAATGCAGTGAAACAATTTCATGTATATTTGGACACGTAGCTATTGTCATGACGTTTCTGTTAGGTTGCACTGCGCATGGTCAGAGGTGTACTTAGCCGAAAAGTCGGAGTTAGTCATTGACTTACAATTATAGAGTTAGTGCATAATGCACACGGCGTATTTTGTATGACGGAGTCGACTTGCGACTCAAGAAGCAGATTTTTGCATCGATTCAGACGCGTAAAGGTGCTTTTCCATCGGCGAGGCAGACGAGATGAGGCGACACTAGACTCCTACTACGTCTTATACGGGAATGGTCTTGATTGACAAGGATGTGTAAGACGAGAATGGAAATATTTGTTGGTGTAATTTTGAACCGTATTGCTGTCTACATTATAGTGTAAAAAAAGATGGCTGGAAAATGTTGATTCTCGTCCCGCCTCGCCAGTGGCAGAGCACGGGTATGTAATGTACCATATAATATTATTCACATAACGTTCAATTGGCATAATTTACTTCCTATAGACTTTTTTAATATAACAATTCACTTCATATAACGAATGTTTAATATCTATATGATACATTAAACACCCTCGGTAATCCCCGTTTTCAGAGGCAATGCGAATGTTTAAAAGCATATTATCATCTCTCTCTGCAGTGATAGAATACTGAAAGTAGAAGTATGAAAAAATCAGCACAATACTTTCAAAGTTTTCGTAGTACCTGTCGACTACAAAATGACAATAACTACATCCACAAAGGAGTATAGGCATTGAAATGTATGAAGAATGTTTGTACGGTGTTTTTTCTTGAACAACAAAAATCTCATAAAACAAAAATTGTTTATTTATTGACAGGAATGTTGACAGTTAAGATGTTTCGGTTTAAGTAAAAATAACCCTTTGTATTATAAGATAAATATTTTAC